TGTGACTTTTCAGGAAACTAGTTGGAAGCATGCGTCCTACACGTGCATTTCATGTATTTTTTTTATACTAAAATTTAAAATTTTCTTTTAAGATTTAGGTTTATCTTTTTATTATTCTCCTAATAATTGAGTCTAATGAAGAAAAGGTTTAATAGAGCACATATAAAAAGGAAAAAAGTTTTTGATGGAAAAAATTAAATAGTAAATTATTTATAAGATACATATAAAAGTATTTGAGAGGGTTTTATGAAAAAAAAAAATGTTAAAATAGAGGCACATTCCAAAAGATTTTACACTAACTAGTATAACTGATAAATTTAACACTAAAATAACAATGCATTAGGGAATAATTTACCTACCTAAAATCTATAGCTCTTTTTCTCTTCTTTAAATACCCAAACGCATGAAAACCCTGCATGCACGCTTTGCCTCCTTCTCGGTGTCATAATGTTTTTTTTTTTTTTTAAGGTTATCAAAATAACCTCAGGAGAAAACTAGGGCTAGCAATCCAGATAACGACACGACAACACGACTCGAAATCTAAACGAAGTTAGCAGGTTTGGGTTTATTATAAATGAGTTTAGGTCATAATCGGGTTGACACGATTAACACAATTAATAAATTGGTTAAGGGGTTGACCTTCTAACACGAATTGACACAATTAACTATGTGTGTCATCTGCAATCTAATGATATGTAATATAATACGAAAGTTTATATGACATATTCAATACAAATAATGTGAATTTTAATATTTCTAGGTAAAATTCCTTTATTTTTTTAAAGAAAAAGATAAATTAACCAATAAATATGTTAAACATGTCTTGATCGTATTAAATAAGTCATTATTTTATTAATTATTTATTCAATATATTAATTTAAACGAGTTATACGAATTAACACAATTAACACGATTAATAAATTAGTCGTATTTAAATTGATATTTTTAACACGTTTAATAAATAAATCGTATTTAAATTAATATTTTTTAATACAATTAATAAATAAGTTAATATAAACACGATCTATTAACACGAATTATCACCCACAAAGAAAACCTTGTGCATGCACGCTTTGCCTCCTTTCAACTCAAAAAATCATAACTGTTAATGTATTCCATCAAGATAATAATCTTGTCTCAGACGTGATAAAAGGCATTCATTTCATGTTCACAATAAAAATTTTGTTTGGACGACACTTAGACTTTAGAGCCAACTAAACGATAAGCATGATTGCCAAACGCATTATATCGGGAGAAGCAAAAAGACTGGCATGGGATGAGCGATGAAAGAAAATAAGTAAAATAAATAAAAATAATAATAAGAGGAAAAAAAAAAAAAAAGAACCAAAACCCAGTTAAAATTTTTAATTAGTTGCTTCATTTCTTGTCGAGAAAAAATATAAAAGAAAGTTAGTGTATTTTCTGTTTTTTTTATCATTTTCTGTATATATTATTTAACACGTGAATTTTACCGTTTTATTTTTTATTTAAATAATAATATATTATATTAATAAAATTCACATATTAAATAATAAATACATAAAATATCAAAAAAAGTGATAAAGAATAACTCTAACATCTCTATTTCACCACCAATAACATCTCTCTGTTTTTTTTTCATAGTCTATTTATCTATCTATATTTTATGTAGTTGCAGTGGTGTGCCCCTCTATGAGCGGTCCATATGTGACACGCCCTTATTGGTTGTAAGTGGCAACATAATTTGGAAAATGTCAAATTCAAAGAGCATACAACTTTCCTTTCTAGTCTAGACCTATAGCTTTTCTTTTCGTTTCGTTTCTTTTTTTCTGCATAAAGTTTATAGTATTGAAAGACGACAATATTGCACTTGAAAAATATCATGGGTGCTTTTATGCTGTTCGAATACTTTTTTTTAGCACCGTATTAAAAGATATGATAATTTTTAAAATTTTACGTTAAAATTTTTAAATTTAAATGATAAAGTTATAAAAATTATAATACATTTGTGAATTTTAAAAAAAAATACAATAAATCGTTTGAGTTTATAAGTTTTAACGTAAAATTTACAAATCTATTATATTCCTTCAAAATTTACAAATTTATCATAATTTTTATAACTTTATCATTCGAGTTTATAAATTTTAACGTAAAATTTCATAAATTATCGAATCTCTTAATATAATGCAGCGAACTAAGGGAGTATAATTTTTTAGTTGAATTTGAGTTATAACTTGAGTTTGTGTTTGGTTGTGTACATTTGAGTTATGGTTTGAGATAAGAATATTTTTTAGTTTGTGTTTGAGTGAGTCAAAACTTAAATTTGTATTTAGATAGTATTTTAATAAAAACTCAATGCTGATGAAAAATTTTAATAGGGTATATGGGTCGGGTTTTATTCTTCTTTTCGTTGTCAACGCATAGAAAAAAAAATCATCTCAATCAGAATTAAAACGAAAAAGTTATAGCATTTTTAAGAATAAAAAAAATAATGTTTATTAATTTGAGTTCGAGTTTCTGAACTCGAGTTGAAGGAGAAACTTGAACTCGAGTTTTAGTCCTAAACTCAAGTTTAAACTTAAAAGAACATGAACTCGAATAAAGTTGTAACTCGAACTTGCCCCGTTCACTTCGTTGATTCGAGTTTAGAATTTGAATTGAGATGTAATTTTATGTGAGAGCTTTTTACTGTAGTAAAAAAGTTAGATTTGATTGTTTGTGAGAGCTTTTTACTGTAAAAAAACTCAAATTCTAAACTCAAATCGACAAAATGAACGACTTCACATCTCAAAAGAATAAGTCTTAAGTATCCCAGCGGCAGAAAAGAATCCAAATATCTTCCGACTTATATACATACATATCTTTTAAACTCAAATCGACAAAATGAACGACTTCACATCTCAAAAGAATAAGTCTTAAGTATCCCAGCGGCAGAAAAGAATCCAAATATCTTCCGACTTATATACATACATATCAGTTCACAATCTAACATCAGTACTGTTAATATTCACGCTATATTTAACTAATCTACACATCTGCAGTAGCCATCTCCTCCTTTTCTTTTGTCTCAAATCAGCAGCCATATTGTCCTATATACTTTCACCTTTTTCTTTAATTCTTATTGAATATATACTTTGCCGCTCTTGTATAATATATTATTTAGTACAAATTTTATCATTTCAGTTTTTATTTAAATAATATATTATAATAATACAGTATATATAAAATAATAAATATAAAAAGTAATAAAAAGAGTTTCAGAAACTGACGTTTGTATAAACACTTTCAATTCCCAAACCACTGGAATAAGAAGTACAAAGCTTTTAATTAATGTCTTGGTTTTATTCATGAATAAGCAAATCAATCATTTGCTTCTACTGACAATTAATAACTTTGGATATACTCTTCCTTCTCTTTTCTTTTTTTAACAAGAGATAATTAAACTGTATGGAAAATTTTATTTGAAATTAAGTAAAATTTTTAAAATATTACAAAAATGATACAAATAACATAATAATTATCATAATGATGTCACGTTTTATTTTATACAATGATATAATCATAAAATAATGATATCATATTTTGCACTTATTTTAATATTTTAAAAAATTTGCTATATTAAACTTTACTATTAAAATTTTACTTTACGTGTAAAATATGTCAGGAAAAAAAATAAATACCTCTTAAAAATATAAAAATCAAAACTTTTACTATTTATTTTTTATTCATAATTTTTTTAATTAAATAACTATACTAATAAAAAAATATTAATATGAAATTTAAATGTACGCACTCTTAACGATAAATTACGTAATTTTCTCAACATTTATGCATATTTCAATATAAGATGAAAAAGGGGCATTCCTTTAACTTTATGGGCCCACAAAAGTCCAAAGTAAGGGATTGTTTGACTGGGTCAAGCCCTGTGACAGGCCCCTTGGCTGACAGGTGTCTGACACCCGTTATCCTGAACAAGACAAGAAGATGAGCACAAGAAGCATGCATGAATCTCAAAATTTTCAACGAAGGGGGGAACACTGATATGATGGACTTAAGTCCACAAATATTATATGCCTAGGATACACTTAAAGTAGTTGCCTTTCCATCATCTACGACTAGGAAAGTTGGGACTGATGATGAGAAAACCTAATACACTACTATATCAGCACATCCTGGCCAGTAGCCATCTCATGATCATACACCAAATTGCAAGTTCTCAAATATTTCTCTACCAATGCTTTATAAGTCAGACGTTGATAAGACGCCTTTCTTTGGAATCTATGTCCCCAAGGTGCTTTTTTCAACTTTTTGAAAGGCTTTGAACCAAATTTAATTTAGGGGACATGTACCATATAGAAAAAAAAAAAAAAAAAAAAAAAAAAAAAAAAGGTAATCCGTGTACGTAACATAAAGTTTTGTTTACCAATTTGACAAGCTCTATGAATATAACTCATCCTAATTACAAGCACCGGTAATATTAAACGCCACACATTAATCATATAAAGTGTGTCTAATAATATATAATTAATAAATAACATTCATGTTTTATTAGTTGTGGTGTTTATATATCCGACTCGAAAGTTTTTTTTTTTTTTTTTTTTTTTTAAAAAACATGTTTTACACGATAACGAATATTAACACACATATATCACATGGTATACGATCTTTTTCGTATATCATTTATAAGTAATAATGTCGTGTGGCGTCAAGACTAGCTTTGTCAATTTTTTGAGCATTTGGTATAAGTTCCAACTTGAGTTAGCATGATTGGCTCCCTAGACAAGAAATTGTGGTCCATTTTTAGGATTGGTTAGGCTAGTCCATGTTGTCCAGTCACGATTTCCATCATCATCATTGCACTCAAATAATGCATCGTACGTCAACTTCCATTATAACTAAATACATAGTGAGAAAATAGACGGGGAAATTATAAAGTAAAATAAACTAGCACTATTGAAATTTTGGCCTTTTAAAATAACACACAAACTGACGGTGCATCACCAAAATCTGAGGCAGAGCAAGGCAAGACTCCAAACAACATGGATGTGGTGAATGCCTTCCACATGACTGGAGGAACTGGCCAGACTAGCTACGCAACAAATTCATCTTTCCAAGTCTCTTTCTTTTTCTCTTTTTTTTATTTTTTTTTTCTATTTTTTTTATTTTTTTATCTATCTTCTCTCCAGACACTAGTGATACTATCATTTATTTGGAGCTTTCTAACAGTAGAGGGGACTCTACTAGTAGTGTATATACGTTTTTTAATGTTAGATCCGATCAATATCCCATCAAAATAAAAATATAGCAAAACTTATAAAATATGATACAAATCTTAATAACTCAAAATAAACTCCTACCAATAGGGTTTTATTTTTACACCTACCGTAGAATTCTCTTGTTTGTTTGCTTACACTTTGTTTGCTGTCATTATTGTAATTCTTTTTTTTTTTTTTTTTTTTTTTGTGGATACAGAAGAAGGCCTCAGACATGGTGAAGCATATAACCCTAGAAACAGTACAAGAACTCTATCTCACCACAACTCCAAAGAGCTTGGGGATAGCTGATTTGGGTTGTTCTTCTGGACCAAATACCTTATCCATCATCAAAGATATCATTGAAGCCGTCCGAGCGGCGACTCGAAAAATCATAGTTCCACCACCAGAGTTTCAAGTTTATCTCAATGATCTTCCAACAAACGACTTCAACTCTATCTTCAAGTCCTTGCCAGACTTCTCAAGACAACTAAACAAAGATAGAAAAGGTACTGATCAGTCTCCTACTATCTTCATAGGAGCTTATCCCGGCTCGTTTTACGGCAGACTCTTGCCCAACAACTGCCTTCACTTTGTCTATTCATCTTACAGCTTGCACTGGCTCTCCAAGGTGAAGAGTTTTTCTTTTGCTTGCTTTTATCAGCTTTCTAATTCATGTTTCTTTTACAAAAAAAAAAAAAAAAAAAAAAAAAAAAAAAAAAAAAAATTTTAAGATCGATACAAACAAATTCGGAATTCTAATAAATTTTCGAAGGCACTGTTTTATTGTAGTATGATTCTTATGTGATCCAATGTTTTTAGAAATTATTTTATCATATAAGAAATCTGTAATTAGGAAACGTCTATATAAAAATCAACCATGATATGATCCAGGTTCCTCCAGATATATATGATGAGAATGGACAGTCCATAAACAAAGGTACCATTTACATTTCTAAAACCAGCCCATATAAGGTTTCCCAAGCATACTTGAAGCAGTTTCAGGACGATTTCTCATTGTTTCTCCGGTTGCGATCCGAGGAGCTGATCTCAGGAGGAAGAATGGTGTTGATCTTACTGGGAAGAGGAGGTCCTGATCATGTTGACAGAGGCAATTCATTCTTTTGGGAACTCTTATCGCGATCGTTTTCAATATTAGTTTCGGAGGTAAGTATGTAAATTAGATAATTAGAAAAATGATAAATATCAAGTCTTATAGTCCCCACATATTTTCAACTAATAATCAGAAACTGTCATGTAAAATTTGCAAGGCCGTAATTAGTTTAAAATTAGTAATAATATTGACACTTGAGATTTAGTACAAGAATCTAGAAATGCAAAATCACAAAATTCAAGTCACCTAATTAATTACACAACTCTTTGGGGTCTAGTGTTCTTGTTGATAATCTGCCCTGCTGAAATATTATGCACAGATCACTAAGCATGATCACATATATCACGTGATCAAGCGAACTAGTGCGCACTTTTGACCACCTTGGCAAGGCTAGATCTTGTCAAATTATTAGAAGTTTTTAAATTACTTGTAGAGCAAGGTTGACTTCTTATTTCTCTAACTAGTGGTTTTATTATTAATTTTATTTTAAATCCTATTTGTTAGGGAACAGTCAAGAAGGAGAAGATTGATTCTTATGACGTGCATTTTTATGCACCATCCAAAGAGGACATCGAAGATGGTGTTAGACAACAGGGTTCTTTCCAAATAGACCGGTTCGAGATGTTCGAAATTGAGAAGGGAGAAGAGGGGAATGGAAGCCATGGAAGAAGAGTGGCTATGGCAGTAAGGGCTGTTCAAGAATCTATGATTAGCCAGCACTTTGGAGATGGGATTTTGGACAGTTTGTTTGAGATTTATGGAAGGATGATAGATGAAGAAATGACTAAAGAAGAAATTAGGCCCATTACGTTTGTTTTCGTTCTTAGAAAATTATGAATGTAATGTACGAGACAAAAAGAGTAGCAATTTAGAAGTACTTGTTGAAGAAACGACATCATGTGTTTTTGCATCCATTCACTTGAAAAATTTGCAAGTACGGCTAAGTGTTGCACAAATGCTGCTGTGGTACTTTTGCTGCTTCACTAGTACTCCACTTGCCTGTACAGTTTGAAACTGATATCCTTTTATGATTGTGTTTGATGAAATTATTCTATTGTAACTGATATCCTTTCATGATTGTGTTTGATGAATTTTTTTTTGTGATTTGAAGAAGGAAAATGGCTTGTTCTCTGCGTGGTAAACATCTTTGGGCCTGCAGTTTGTCTATTGGGTCCAAATGTGAAATGCTTTCGTTGAGAACTCTCTACAAATATCCCGGCTCTTGATTTTTATCTCTTACTCTTAATTAATACTCTTTTAATCAAATAATTATATTAACAAAATGGTACTAATTAAGTGACAGTGTAAGGGATAAAAATACCATGCACTTTTAAGGTTTTCAACAATTTTCTGGTTTTTTTTTTCCTTAACTTGTATTGTCAAGACCATCACATTAGCTCAAGTTAAACTCTCAAGCATCAAAGGATAGACATATATCACCAAAATAATATTTTTAGTTTTATTTTTCTGATTCAAAGCAAATAAGGTTTTTTTTAATTATTTTTTATTTTTGATAAAACATACATAATAACACACAAAACCCATGGGCATATCAACCAGAAGGGCCTTAAGGAGGAGATAACACTAAAGTCTATAAGTGAATTCTACTATGTGATATTATCCAGACAATTGCTGATTGGAAAGACTGAAATGAGTACGAGAGAGAAAGAAAGAAAAAGAGAAGAGAGAGAGTATTTTGTCAAATGAATCAGAAGTGATCTTCTCATTAATCAGACTCGGTTTATATCAACCATAATTACACAACTCAATTAGTTACAAAAATAACAGCTTCTCTAATTTTGTTGTAACAGACTAACTGATCTCTAATGCTGACTCATCAGCATTAGCACCTGGCTTAGCATCCCTTCTCAAGTTTAACATTTTATTCACAAGTTTGAGCTTGTCACGAAGAAAGCAAAATCTGGGTGTGGCTAGTGCCTTGGTAAAAATGTCAGCTATCTGATGTTCTGTTGAGATATAACGAACTTCAAGTTCTTGAGCCAACACTTTCTCTCGAACAAAATGAACATCTATTTCTATATGTTTAGTCCGAGCATGAAAAACTGGATTTGATGCCAACGACCCTGCACTCATATTGGCACACCAAATAATTGATCGTTGCTGCGGTTTTATGCCTATCTCAGTAAACAAAGACTTCAACCATATAACTTCGGCAGCAGCCTAAGCCAAGGTTCTATATTCAGCCTCTGTGCTAGATCTAGCCACAACAATTTTTGCTTTCTTGCAGACCCATTTATCAGATTTTCACCAAAGTAAACACAAAAACCACTAGTAGACCTTCTGTCATCTACACAACTAGCCCAATCTGTGTCTGCAAAGCCGTCAATACACAATCTGGTGGCAGGTTTGAACCAAAGACCATAAGATGCTGTTCCTTTAAGATATATAAGAATACGTTTACAAGCTGACCAGTGCTCTGTTGTAGGAGCTTTAAGAAATTAACTTAATTTGTTCACAGAAAAAGAGATATCGGGCGTAATCATTGTAAGGTACTGTAATCCTCCAATAATACTTCTGTAGAGACTAGGAATCTCAATGGAATCTCCATCATCAAGTGACAGCTTTTTCTTTTCACACATAGAAGTGGGAGTGGCTTTAGCAAGAGACATATTAGCCTTCTTTAACAGATGTGCAACATACTTCTGCTGAGTTAAGCGAAGACCTTTTTCATCTCTATAAGCCTCAAAGCCTAAAAAATAATTAACTGAGCCCAAAACTTTCAATGCAAACTGAGTGTGCAAATCACTAATAACCTGTTTGATAGCAGCTGAATCGTTCCCAGTAACCAGAATGTCGTCAACATGGATCAAGATAAAAATCAGTTTTCCTTCTTGCCTTCTAAAAAATAAGGAAGTGTCAGACATGGAGTTCCTAAAACCCCACTGCATGAGTGCTTGTTTGAGTTTGTCAAACCAAGCATGAGGTACTTGTTTCAAGCCATATAAGGCTTTATGCAAATGACAGAGATGATTAGGAAAACGAGGATCTTCAAAACCTTTGGGTTTGACACATATACACAGTTTCTTGCAAGTCGCCATTCAAAAATGCATTATTAACATCCACTTGTTGAATATCCCATCCAAAAGTAACAGCCAAAGTAAACACAACTCGTACAGTAGATGGTTTAACGACAGGGCTAAAAGTTTCAAAGAAATCTAACCTCGAAGTTTGCCGAAAATCCTTGGCAACTAAACGAGCTTTGAAGCGATCTACAGTACCATCCTTCTTGTATTTCACCCGAAAACCCCATTTATTTGAAACAACATTCATATCAACAATAGGGGAAACTAAGCTTCAAGTGATATTACGCATCAAGGCTGCAAATTCCTCATTCATAGCTTTCTTCCACCTAGGATCTGCCAAAGCTTCTGTAACAGTAGAAGGCTCAACAGGTACATCACACATAGAACCACTGTTCATTAAAACTTTTGGTTTAAAAATGCAACCTTAGAGCGAATGATCATAGAATGAGTAGAAACAGAAGATTTGGGAGGTTTGGGTTTAGGTTTAGAGAGTTTAAGAGAAGGTAGTGAAGTGGGAGAATTTAAAAAGGGAGAAGGTGAAGTAGAAGAAGCTGGTAAAGGAGGTCAGATGACGAAAGTGTACATTCAATAATAGTTTATATCATCATTTTACACGTAAAAGTGTCATTAAATTCTCTGATTAAAACACTCTGGTCTTCTTAAGCATAACTTAGACTGTATTGGGCAAATGATGAACATGATATATGAATTTAGATTAAAAGAAGAAGATCTACAACTGTGATGCTTTTTCAAGGAGCAATTAGGCCTCTATCATTGCCAAAAGTTGGCTGAAGCAAACCTAGTCGTCAGCACAAGCCCAGCCCAACGTATCTTGGTATTTGGATCGTACTTCACACAATACATAACCAAATGAGGTGATTTCAGTGGTAGAGATAAATCTACAAGTCCATTAAAGTCCACTTTTTCAAAGTCAGATGTCAATCAGCCAAAATGTTGTGTCCAACATGATCATACAAAAGTAAAGCCTCCAGATATGTCTCCATAATTTAGGCGCATCTCTCTGAATATATGTCCCAATGAGCTGATCTTAGTGTCCATGTAAAGATAAGAAAGAGATCTACAAGTCCATTGAAGACCACTTGCCCAGATTTCAAAGTTATCATTGAAAAAAAGCAGCCCTCAAGTTACGTGCCTAACATGATTAGTTAAAATGTTAAATTTAGTAGCAAAAATGTCAAAAATGTATGGTTATTCTTTGAATCCGACCAATGCCTCATTCTTAACATTTAGCCCCTCTCATCTTTTATAAATAGGCCTAATAATAAGCTTGTAAAACTATCTTGGTTTAAATATCAAGATCACTTGTTTTCTCTCTTGTTTTCATGTTTCTTTTGTGATTCTTCATCGTTTTTGTAAAATCGTTGCAATCCAATGTCTTTGATGATTTCCTTCTTATATTTGTGTTCTTCATATTCAATGTCTTTTTAATTTCATTTTGCTGAGGTGATAGGATGAAACTCTTGGTAGATACTAAGGTTAATTTGATATTCTTAACTTGGGATTAATGTGTATTTTCATTTGTTGTCATTAGTATATGTATTATATTCACTTGTCTTGATAACATACTTCTAAAGTAGGAGTCTTGATTCATTATAGACAGTTATTGACACAAAACATGCTTGGTTTCATTTAGACGTTTGCTTGGTGTGTGTTAACCTTGATTTGTTGTTGACATAAATTGGCATAATGAATACTTGAACCAATTTATAAGTTTTGGAATCATAAAGTAAATATAATATCATATGCTATATTAATGGACTTAAATTGCTAAACTCTACTGACGGAATGTAGATTCCTATTGAGTTATAAAAACGAGTTAAGATTAATCTTAGTATAATATCGAGAGTAAATCCCCTAACCTCGGAACCTTTTTATTTCTTATATCACCTTAAATTAACTTTGTTTTCTGCATTTTTGCATTTGTTAGGAACATATAGATAATTCTATCTTAAAAATTAAATTCCCGATGAATAGTACCGTATTTGTGAATAGTGTCGTGTGAATAATGTCATATAGTACTGTAGCGAGTATTTTTATTTTTTCTTTAAATCAGTTGTAAATATCTTTTTGTTTTTATTAAATATTTATGATCTTGTCATTTCTTATTAATTTTCTTATAGATCGACCTCAGACTCCTGAGCTTTTATTACATTAAGGGAACCTGTACTTGAGTTTGTAACCTAAAAGTTGTAGCAAGTTTTTGGCGCCGTTGCCAGGAAAATAAGATTTAAAATACAGGTTGATGAATATTTTCCTTCATTTTCTTGCTTTCTATATTCTATTAGTTGATTCTATTGTACCGCCTATTTTCTTGTAATATATTTTAATGTTTGCTTGGCATCGTGATTTTAACTCTCGTCGTTTAGTCAGAAACAACTCTAAAATCCTCTTTGACAATCTGTTTGATATGCCTCCACACTCTGAAAGTGTTCATGATGAAAATGAGAATCAACAAGTGCGTACCATGCGTGACTACTTGCAACCTCCTCGAAACTCTTCACCTTCTTGCTTCATTTTCCCTCTTAATGCAAACAACTTTCGGTTCAAACCAGGTATAATAACTCTACTTCCTAATTTCCATGGCTTAGAATATGAAAGTCCTTACTTGCATTCTAGAGATTTTGATGAAGTATGTGCCACCCTTGATGACTAACCGTGTATAAATGAAATTGTTAAGTTAAAATTATTTCTTTTTTTCTTTAAAAGCTAAAGCGAAAACTTTGCCTAAGTCAATTAGCACTTGGCAAAAAATGCAGACTGAATTTCTAAAGAAATTTTTTCCCAATGCTTTGAAAATATAATTTCAAAATTTCTTT